AGGTGCAGGACTTCTAGAAGTGGCGAAGAAGCGTTTTTTTAAAGGCATCCCTCCAATTAAAAAATGGGAATTTCCGTCCTATCTTGTCTGCTATAAAGGGAGGTGTCTTCAGAAAAATTACATGCATGTGCCCAAGTCCGAGCGTTATCAAGAAGGAAGAAACCCTGGATTGTTCGAAGGGTAACATTCTTGCAGACTCAGCCTCTTCTTTCAGACTTCTCTACTGTGACAACATGTAGGAGGCTCAGAATGAAAGCATTGTGCTGATCATACAAATTGGGCCTTGTTTTGGGAAATAAAGATGAAGGGGGTTTTCAGCAACCCCAAAGAGATCAAAGGTTGATGTCAGAGAGGAATGACCTAATATGCAACAGTCTAAACTAGACCACGGAATACACATAAGAGTTCTCAACATGATTTTGAGGTTACTGCAACTTTTTTTTGTCAATCTCTTTCTCTCTCTGTCACTCAACCCTATTATATTATCCCTTTTATAGGAGTCGCCAAATGACACACGCATGCTTTTGTACAGAGAGTCTTGAAATAAATGCCCCCACACAAACCCCAGTAAATTCTCCTCTGCCATTTTTAATGGCCAATGTTTTCTGAATATTCCTGAAAGTCTACAAATATTCTCAGGATGTTCTGCAAATAGTTTAATTCATCATCGGCTTCGGACATCCAAAGATGTCAAAACAAAAGCCAACGTTTGACAATATCTAATGGCCAGACATGTGAAAGTCAGCACTTGACAACATATGTTTGTTTACACTGTGGGTGTTTTCTGGCAGTTATACAATCTCACATTTAGTATACAGTGGTACCTTGGGTTACATACGCTTCAGGTTACATACACTTCAGGTTACAGACTCCGCTAACCCAGAAATAGTGCTTCAGGTTAAGAACTTTGCTTCAGGATAAGAACAGAAATCGGGCTCCAGGGGCGCGGCGACAGTGGGAGGCCCCATTAGCTAAAGTGGTGCTTCAGGTTAAGAACAGTTTCAGGTTAAGTACGGACCTCCGGAACGAATTAAGTACTTAACCTGAGGTACCACTGTAAAGGTAAAAGTAAAGGACCCCTGACAGTTAAGTCCAGTCACGAACGACTCTGGGATTGCGGCGCTCATCTCTCTTTACTGGCTGAGGGAGCCAACGTTTGTCCTCAGACAGTTTTTCCGGGTCATGTGGCCAGCATGACTAAGCCGCTTCTGGCGAAACCAGAGCAGCACATGGAAACACCGTTTACCTTCCCGCCGGAGCGGTACCTATTTATCTACTTGCACTTTGACGTGCTTTCGAACTGCTAGGTTGGCAGGAGCAGGGACCGAGCAATGGGAGCTCACTTTGTAGCAGGGATTCGAACCGCCGACCTTCCGATCGGCAAGCTCAAGGCTCAGTGGTTTAGACCACAGTGCCACCCACTGTGTTTAGTATACCTCCTTACAACTGCCTTATTTAATTTATTTAGGATCACTGGGATCATTTTCTCCACCCCTTCTTCCCAATATTTGAAAGTACTTGGCCTGACTCAGCCAGCATTTGACACTGAACATTTTGGCAGTCTATATCTGATATGTGGCAATTGTTATTTGGCTGCAGTCAACAACTGATATGCAGAAGAAGTTAACCTTTGACAGAAGCAGCTGACTTGCAACAGAATTTAGTACATTTTCTAATAATTTCACTCAGGCTGCAATCCTATAGCAAGCATACTTACCTGGGAGTATGTCCCATTAAACTCAGTGGGACATACTTCTGAGCAGACATGCATAGAATTCAACAGCTGGCTTATAAAAATAATATTTTGAGGTAATCAGTGCTTTTTTCCTGGGGGTACTCAAGTGTACTGACACAGTACTGACACCTTTTTCATGCTAAAAGTGTGGCACTTACTATAACAATTTCATGGTGAGTACTGACACCTTTTTCTTTCTTTTTTAAAGCACGAGGTAAGTTTCAATTCCAAACAAATTTCAACCCCAAAATCTGATTCAGAATTTGATAATTCAGTCTGTGGAATTCCATTCAACACTAAGCATATGTTTGAGGGGAAATTAGACACTACTTAATCAAAAAACTCTCTAAGTGGTATAAGTAATAAAATTATCAATGAAACACAGAAAGATGCTAATTGTTGAACTGTGTCCTGTAGCTCCCTCTGTCATTGCTGTGCACTTCTTATTCTTCTGGGGCAAATTAGTTTGTTAACTAATGGAAAAATAACAGAAGCAAGGCTCCCCGCACACCCATCCAACATAAAGACAGTCAGTGATTTACTAGGAAAAGCTACCAGGGGGAAAAAACCCAGGGAGAATAGGAGCATTCAATTGCCTCCTGAGAAGAGGCCATATCTTCAAGAAGCTGGATTTAGTTGCACAGCTAAGATAAGGAACCTGTAAAGCTTGATGCACCATCTGTGGAGATTTCGTCGGGCTTTTTCCTCTTCCGAAGCCTCACACGCCCATAAAGGCAGTGTTGTCGAAAGTATGTTGGCAGGCACACAAAGATCTCTGTGATGTGAAAGCCAAGGCCTTTTTATAAACCAGAGAGCACAGGCTGCCAAGGGAAGCCGTTGGCTAAGTCGATGGTTTAGTTAACACAGCTTTCCCTATTTTCCAGGCTATGAAGGCCACACTGTGCTCCTTGCAGGAGAATCTGGAGCCCTCCTTGAAAATGGACTGCTAGGAATATGTGTCACTGACAGTTTTGAAGCAGTGAATTGCTTACTATGGTTTGGGCAACATTTGTGTATCTTTGAGTTAGAGGAACTTAGCAGGGGATTTGGCCAAGTTAGACAACACACACACACACACACCATTCTGGTCAATTCCAAAGTGAACTGATTCAATGGGAACAGCAGACTTCATTGTACATTTGGTAGGGGAGACTTCGTCTGAGGGATCCCAAAGAATTTTGTGATTCTAGGTTATAAGATTGGTGTTTGGTCGGGAGAAGGTAAATGGAACCAGCAAGCCTGCTGATGGAGTGGTCCAGTACTCTGTCTTGTCCCTGAAATGTCTCTCAATGGATACTCTGTTCTGGAAGGAGAGGGACAATACAAAAAGCTGCCTTAGACTGAGTCAGACTATTGGCCCATCTAGCTCAGGATAGTCTACAACAACAACAGCAACAACAACAACAACAGGAGCAGCAACTTATTATCTATACCCTGCCCATTGGGCTGGGTTTCCCCATCCACTCTGGGCGGCTCCCAACAGAATATTAAAAACATGATAAAACATCAGACATTAAAAACTTCCCTAAACAGGGCTGCCTTCAGATGTCTTCTAAAAGTCGGATAGTAGTTTTTCCCCTTGACATCTGATGGGAGGGCGTTCCACAGGGTGGGTGCCACTACCAAGAAGACCTGGTACCCTGTAGCTTCACTTCTTGCAGTGAGGGAACCGCTAGAAGGCCCTCAGAGCTGGACGTCAGCTGAACAATGGGGGTGGAGACACTCCTTCAGGTATACTGGACCAAGGCCGTTTAGGGCTTTAAAGGTCAGCACCAACACTTTGAATTGTGCTCAGAAACATACTGGGAGCCAATGTAAGCCTTTCAGGACCTTCAGTAGTACTCCAAGGTTTCAGGCAAGAGTCCTTTTCAGGCTTGCATAGAGAAACCTGGGATCTTCTGCCACAGCACTATGACCCTTCCCCGTTTGCTGATTTGGGAATCAGGACTGGCTTCCCCACCCACGCCACCCATGAGATGTGATGTCATCAAAGAATCATAGACTGGAAGGGAGGGACCATGGGGGTCATCTAGTCCAGCCCCAATGCAGGAATCTTTTGCCCTTTATCAGGGTGTCTGTATGTGTGAAAGAAGACAGTAGACGGGCAGTCACGGAATATAATCTGCAAGGCACATGGAGGCCCAGCTTGCTCTCTGTGAGAATCCTGTGCTATAGCATTGAGGGGGTGGGGTAGAAACAGAGGGTGGAACTCAATAAAGTTTTGTTCAGAGAGTAGACCCATTGGAATGAATGGACCTAATTTAGTCCCATTCATTAATGTCAATTCCTGCCAACCTAGCAGTTCGAAAGCGCATCAAAGTGCAAGTAGATAAATCGAGCCGGGAGCGAGAGCACTTGGCCACCTGGTCGACTGTCCAGCGGTGCACTGAGGCCGGGAAAACCCTGGAGCCAACGCAGGGAGAAGGAGAAGGAAGAGAAAGAAAGAGGAAGGAGAAAAAAGAGGGCAGCCCCAACATTGCCGTGCCGCTGCTTCTGCAGCCATTTAGGAGGAGAGGTAGGAGAGCACCGACACGTGGCTGAGCCCAGGCCCGGCCCGAGCCTACTCCACGGCGGCTAGCACTCCAACAGAGCAGACCGGGGCCCAGAGGAAAGCTGTGCGACAGAGGTGACCATAGGAGAGAAGATATTACCGGTACTTCTTTTAAAAAAACAAAAACTTTTTTTTAATATTTTTTTTTCTTTAAAAAAAAGAAGAAGTTGTTTCCCCGGATTCTTTGAAAAAAATCTGGTAACCTTAAGTTAGGCAGCATCCTAGGCTCCTCTTAAATTAAAAGAAAAGATCAAGCAGGTATTATTTGCACAAACCCTCTTTACGCAAGTAAGCCCCCGGACTTACAAACATTTGCACCAAGGGGCAGAGATGGCATCCCTCCTCAACCTTCATGAATCAATTTTGTAAGCCTGCAGTCAGGAGGGGGAACTTTCGCTTGTCTTGAAAGGGCATAGCTAAAGCTACAGCACAGCCAAGTGGGCACATTCAGAAGAACAGCTCAGTAGTCCTGTGCCAGACTGTGGTGAAGACTAGCTGGCTGGTTAAGCTCCTACCCTATTGCTGCTCTTTCTGCCCAAGGTGGTTGCATGGTCTATTTCCCTGCAGACTCTTTCTGGCATCAGCAAAAGATCAGTGGCTCGGATAACGAAAGGCACACTGCTCTCAATTACCGTATTTTTCGCTCCATAAGACACACTTTTTTCCTCCTAGAAAGTAAGGGGAAATGTGAGCGCGTCTTATGGAGCGAATGGCGCTGCGCAGAGAGGTAGAGCTGCTCAGCGCCCCTTCAGCAAAGGAACGGAGGAACGGAGCCCCTTCTGTTCCTCCTCCCGCTTCCCTGAAGGGCCGATGCGCAGCTCTCCCTCTCTGCACAGCGCCTCTCCTGCGAAGGAGAGGCGCTGCGCAGAGAGGGAGAACTGTGTAGCACCCCTTCAGCAACGCACCTGTCCAGGTTTCTATTATGTTTCTATTATGTTTCTATTATGCTTAATATATGTAGGGTTTGGTGTCAGAGTTGCTTGTGCTGTTTGCTTGTGTTCCTTTGGTGGTGAGAGAGGTTGGGGTTGGCCTAGGGTGTGGTTGTTTGTTTGTGATTGGCTGTGGTGATCTTTGTTTTCGTGTGTGAGTGGGGTGGGTGGGTGTTTTGGATCAGGTTAGCCATATTGATTTGTATGCTGTTGGTGGATTTTTGTCATTGTCTTGTTGGGCTGTGTATGTGATAAAGGGGGGCCATACCGGGGTAAAGGCGTCTTCTTCTGTTTGTCTCCGTGTCAGTTTCAGTTTATTGGTTAATTTTCTAGTGGGGCTGTTTCCCATACTATTTGGTACCATTGGTCCGTGCTTACTCCTGACAGGTCTCTCCAATGTCTGGTTATGGTGTTTCTGGCTGCTGAAAGTAGGTGGGTTATGAGTTCTTTGTGGTGTAAATGGGCATTGTTGTCTTGGAAGATGTTTAGTAGGGCCACACCAAGTTAATTCTTGCTGAGACTCCCTCAACCCACTCCTAACTCTCTCCTCACCTCCACTGAAATCTGCATTATCATCGTTGACTTTTCAAAAGCCACTTACAACACAGTCATGGAGCTAGCATAAAAACAACCCATTGCATGAAACACTCAGACTTAAGTGTCACACACTAATCTGCAGATTGCCAGGGATTTCAGTTATATCTCTTTCCTACAACATGTGAAGTCAGTAGGAGTTGTTTTCAAGAATTAACATTTTTAGATTTTATTCTGAAAAGCCAAATGCCGCAACAATTAAGCAACCTTAAGAGTCTGGTAATGCAACCTTTGCATCTACCCAGTTAAGAAGCCTCAGTAAATGTTAAAGCCAATTAAAGCTTCTGTTTCTTCAGGGCAGAGGATCAGAGTTCAAAAAAAGATCAAGGTCCAAAAGCAAAACTATAAAATACATGGAGGTACGAAGGACATTTCAAACACTTTGTTGTTGTTGTTTAGTTGTTTAGTCGTGTCCGACTCTTTGTGACCCCCATGGACCAGAGCACGTCAGGCCCTCCTGTCTTCCACTGCCTCCTGCAGTTTGGTCAAACTCATGCTGGTAGCTTCAAGAACACTGTCCAACCATCTCGTCCTCTGTCACCCCCTTCTCCTTGTGCCCTCAATCTTTCCCAACATCAGGGTCTTTTCCAGGGAGTCTTCTCTTCTCATGAGGTGGCCAAAGTATTGTAGCCTTAGCTTCACGATCTGTCCTTCCAGTGAGTACTCAGAGCTGATTTCCTTCAGAATGGATAGGTTTGATCTTCTTGCAGTCCATGGGACTCTCAAGAGTCTCCTCCAGCACCATAATTCAAAAGCATCAATTCTTCGGTGATCAGCCTTCTTTATGGTCCAGCTCTCACTTCCATACATCACTAATGGGAAAACCATAGCTTTAACTATACGGACCTTTGTTGGCAAGGTGATGTCTCTGCTTTTTAAGATGCTGTCTAGGTTTGTCATTGCTTTTCTCCCAAGAAGCAGGCGTCTTTTAATTTTGTGACTGCTGTCACCATCTGCAGTGATCATGGAGCCCAAGAAAGTAAAATCTCTAACTGCCTCCATTTCTTCCCCTTCTATTTGCCAGGAGGTGATGGGACCAGTGGCCATGATCTTCAGGGGTTTTTTTTTGGGGGGGGGTGGTAACTTGCAAAATGCAAACAGCTGGGTTGTACACAGCAATTAACTCTTCTTGTATGGATAGTTTTCAAAACTTCCTGCCCTTGCTGCATTGCCAAAGGACCCCAGGGCATCTTACACAGAACCCCAACATAAAATCATAGAATTGTAGAATTGGGAAGGGACCCTAAGGGTCATTTAGTCCAACCCCATCTTGCACAGGATTTTGGTGCCTGATCTCCACTTACGCTCATCATTGTTCCATTTGAACCAAGTGCACAATTTAGAATAGAATAGAACCCACACAATACTCTGTTCACTGCAGGAGGAACTTCATAGGGACAGGCAATATATTTTTTCTAGAAAAAGTGCCTGACATTCGTCATCTTTTCACTGAGGATTCTCTGATAGCTCCATTTAAAAAAAACCCCTCAAAAGTTTCTCCAAACACAATCTCTCCTCTCAACTTAGTTTGAAAACTTTTACTGACATGTAAATGCCATATAGGATAACTCTCAAGATCAGGATAATAATGATGATGATGATGATATATTATTATTATTATTATTTGTGCCCCGCCCATCTGGCTGGATTTCCCCAGCCACTCTGGGCAGCTTCCAGCAAATATTAAAAATACATCAAAATGTCACACATTAGACTTCCGAGGGGCGGCGCGAACGGCAATGGCGGTCCTCTTCTGAACGGGAGAGGAGGCTCCGCAGACAACGGGTCGTCCGCTACGGCGAAGCGGAGACCCACTCCGGAAAACCCCAGGCAGCAAGAGCTTGGGGTCTTGAGGCTCGGTGGGCGCCTTAAGTGACCCTCCAAACGTGAAAGGAACCTCGTAGGGGCTCCGGAGCGTGGAGGGGGGTTGCGGCGCTGAGAGCTGCTTCACAGTCTGCGGAGTGAAGCCGCGCTGCTGCTGCCGGTGAGCGCTGATCCTTTTTCCTGTTAAAATACGGATTCGGACGAAAAGCAACTTACTCGTGAGTAAAGACTGAATCACTTGAAATTAGAGACTTTAAATGAAAAACCTTAAATTGGCTTGAACTTGGCTGAAAGCGGAGAGACGTGGAAACAGGAAGTCCGTCTTCCGCAGCCATTGAACTTGGAAAAAGCAACTAAGTTGGAGGAGTGGAGGCTGAAAGGAAGAGATTTTAAACTTTACAGATCTAAGCATCTACTGAACTTGCAATTTAAAGTAAAGACTTTAAGCTAAAGATTCGGAATTTTAACTTGCACTTGACTTTCCTCCTTTTATTGGATTACAAATTAGAAGGTGAAACCCAGAGTCAGGAGCTGCCTGAGCATTGAGAGATTGAGCTGTCAGTATTGCAGATTTGGATACTGTATATTGGAACTTGCAACAATCTGAGGGTATTGAGACTTTTTAAATTTGAAACATTCTTTTTGAGATAAATAAGCACTGTCTGTAACAAAGTGACTACTTATAAACTCTGCTAAATATTTATATCTGAAGGTTCTTGGACATTAAATTAGACTCTGAAAGACATTTTAAGCTCCCTCTAGAGGATTGGATTAAAACAGTGACTTTACATCTACATTTACTTTCGATTCCCTTGTTGTTTGCTTGCTCTGGGCCTTTCTATTCCCATGGGAAAAACTCAGTGTGACCTTGACTGATAGACAACGTTGGAATGAGTGGCACAAGGAAAAGAGGGAGAGTTAGACAAACAACTTTAACAACTCTAACCTCAGCCTCGCAGACACGTAGATCATCTGTACCTACTTTGCCCTCAGAAGTAGAACTTGAAGAAGTTGCCTTGCCACAGGCAAAAGAGGGAGAGGGTGAAGCAGAGCAGTTACAATTGGAAGATATGGCCTCAGGAGCATCTGTTTCTGTTCTAGACAAAATCTTTGAAAAATTGGAAGCTTTGGACAAGAAAGTAGATGCGCAATCAGCAAAGATTGACAAAAATACAGAATGTCTAAATAAATTAACCATACAAGTGGTACAGAATACACAAGCAATTGGACAGTTAACGGAGGCCTCAGCAGAAAATCGGAAATTGGCTGAGGATACTAGACAAAAATTGGAAAATTTAGAGCAAGAGGTAAGACCACTCACTAAACAAGTTGGGGAACATCAGACTTATCTTTCCATGATAGAACTGCGAAATCGTGAGAATAATTTGAGGATTAGATCATTACAAGAGGCAGAAGAAGGAAATTTAACTGAGTTTTTGACTAAAGAATTTTCCAAGTTCTGGAATTTGGAAGAAAAGGATTTTAAAATTGTGTCGGCTTTCAGACTTGGAAGATTCACAAAGAAGGAGAGGCCCAGAGACTGTTTGATTACATTGAGATCAAAGGAGGAAAGGGATAAGATTTTGGGCCTACATTACGGAAAGTCACTGGAGGTTTTGGACAGAAGAATTGAAATTTATAAAGATATTCCAAGACAACTGCTGGATCTTAGAGCCGCCTATTCTGAACTTGCTAAACTACTAAGGAGCAACGCAATTCCATTCAGGTGGGAATTTCCCCAAGGAATATCTTTTACCTTTAAAGGGAGAAAGGTCAAAGTTAGAACATTGGAAGAGAGAGACAAATTTTTGGCTACATACGGAGAGGACCTTCAAAAAGGAATTGAATTACCTTCTGGGCCTGGGGCAAAGCCAGCATTAACACCAGCACCTGGGGAACCTGAAGATCCAGAGAAGATACCACCCCTGGAGAAATAACCAGATAGATCCAGGATGTCTCTGCAATTGCTGAGTTGGAACATTAATGGTTGTAACATTCCGGAAAAAGGAAGAAAATATTTCATATATTAAAAAAAGAACAATTGGACATTATCTGTTTACAAGAAACACATGTGACGAGGCTCCACAGAAAAGTGTTAATAAATAAAAGATTGGGCCAGGAATTTGTTTCGTCGGACAAAGTTAAGAAGAGAGGCGTGGTGATATATGCAAAAGAGAGCCTGTCACCTAAATTCTTATTTAAAGATGAACATGGAAGAATTTTGGCCATTGAGATACAATATCAAGGAGAGAAACTGTTGATATTAGGAATCTATGCACCTAATGAAGGGAAATCGGAATTTTACAAGAAGCTGCAGGGGACAATGCTGGACTATCTGGATTACAACAACATCATAATGATGGGAGATATGAACGGGGTCGTGTCAACTAACATGGACAAGTCACAAAGTCAAAATGTTACAAAAGACGGCAGACTACCTAAAACTTTTTTGAAATGACTGACAATATGGATTTGATTGACATTTGGAGG